GAAGAGCGTGATGACTAAAGTGTTATTTCCATAACAGAGATGATTCATTTTATGAGGTTTAACCATGAAGTCATGTGACGATATTTTATACTTAAAGTGAATTTAATTGATCAGTGAATTTAATTGATCAATATTTTTCTGCAGTTAATTTTAGTCACACGATAATTCACATGAGGGTGTTTTTCTACAAACACATAAGATTATTTTAAAACTGATTTTTAAAAATGTAATATGTAACAGAATTTACCAGTCAGTCCGTTTTCTTGTAACTTACCTTCTGCAGCAGATTATTCTGATGGTAAATTGTTTGTTTAGAAAGCAGAAGCACTATATTCTCACTTCTACTTTGGGCTGAAACAACGTATATGACTTCTTGTTTCTTAGGGAAGGCAATCTGAAGAAAGAAGAAATAGCACGGGGAATATACATGTCTCGTTTCTTAGGGAAGGCAGTTTGAGAATCTGAGAAATGAACAAAAAACACGATATACAAAATTTTATATGTGCACACACACGTATGTGTGTGTGTGTAAAATCATGGAAAATTAATATTCTCAGTAGTAAAAGTCTTGATATTTTTAATAGCATGTATTATTTTTAAAAGTATGCTAAAATATTAAAATACAAAAGACTATATTTTCTGAGAATTCATGTATCTCTAAGAAAGCAAAATAGAATTCATATAGGCGATTCATAACTAAAAATGAATATAACATTAATGTATGTTTTATTATTCATCCTCTTACCTATTGGAAATTTTAAAAGAATTAGATACATGTTTTGGATATAAAGTTGAAAAGTCTGATGGACTTAAAAAAATGAAAAGTAAGGGGCTTATAGGATCTTAATTTGGATTATTTACAGAAGATAAATAGTTCCAGTAGCCTTTCATTTGAATTCAGTAGAAATCTAGAGCCACAAGTAAATTTTTATACATAAAATCCATCTTGGCACTCATCCGAAGCATGTCTTAAAAAGCAGGTATCTTAGCGTTTCTACTGCATCTTCAGCCATGTATTTAAACAGTGTAAGGCCACAGCATACACATCTCAGCCACTTCCTGTTCTGTGCATTGATGTTTATCTCATAGATGCATTGAGTAGTGCCTTTTTAGCTTCTTCACATTGCTTTGTGACCCTCTGCTTTGTGTTCTCAAAATACGTTGCCCAGTTCAGAAAATGTTCAGCATGGAAAAGGGCTTCAGTATCAACTGAGACTACTTTTGTTCATCTCAGGGAACTTTCAATACTCAAGAAAGAATTCAGTTAAAGGTATTCAGTGTTTAAAGAAGACAAACTGTACAAGACCACCCCATCCCCTACCGTATGCCTTTCCATACGCTCTCACCCTTCACTAACTACTGTGGCCTTCCTGTAGGGATGGAGCAAGGAGATCATTTCTAGCTAATAGGGAGAACAAGAGAGGTGAGATGTAAACAATAAGGGGGCATAAGGGATCATCACAAAGTCGAATTATAAATACATACTTGAAATATCTGTTTTTTTTTTTCTTTAGAAAATACCATATATTCACAGCTTTAAGTTTATATTTCTTTTTCACAATGTAATCCTGTAACTGGCAATGCTCAGGCAGCTGATTATGAAATATTTCTGTCCTTTGGAGAACATGGTTGTCACTGGGCTGTTGACACGAATAGGCCATGAAAACATTTTCATCATTATTACCCAGCCTGTTCTATAATGCATACTAAGTTGCTGAAATCAAAAGTGTGAATCAGGAACAGATTTTCTGGGCAAATCTAATGATTCAGCCCACAGGACTGATGAAGCTACTGTGGAAGTTTTTCTATCTGAAAGAAGGTGCTGGGCATTCAAATGTCTTCATGTATTGTATAGCATATGAATTGTATATCAATTGCTAATGGGAATTTCTACATGTATGCTTACAGAAGTGATTTATTTAAATAATGCTAGGGGTAGTGTACATACCAACTAGTTATTAAGCTAACTACACATGAAAAGGGTGAACAAAGTAATTTATTTCTTATTGCGCCAGTTAGTCATAATGCACATAATGTGGTATTTGGTTCATGAAAGACTTGTTTTTATGTGGTTATTGTAAGGGGTATCTATAACTGTGGAAGGGGTATGGGAAGAGTTATGTGTAGTTAGTTATCTCTACAAGTTTGAAGTTTCCCCATCAAACATTATCAATATACCAAGATTTTTTTTTTTTGAATGGAATGAGGGTTATTGTTTGTATCTAATGAAAGAAAATCCAAATAAAGCCCACCTAGAGATAGATATTTTATTACATATGTGCTATAGATATACCTATATAGTACAAATAGACACGTGTGATGCATACATATAAAGCGATATATGTGTAGCTGTGTGTATGCACACCGAGTCTGTAATATGTACACCTAGATTTGTGTTTTGCTACAGTCTTCGGGGCCTGCAATGTGAACTCACCCTGGAGATAAGTCAGATGATTTCAGAATAAAGAAGTTCTTTTGAGACTTCAGTTCCTTACCTGCTTTAAGAGAGATCTACTTTATAAATGAATTCCATGTTGTTCATACCTAGAGTTACAATAAGGGTCTTGTATGTCCGAATCTTTAAAAAAGAAAAAAAAAAAAAAAAGAAAAAAAAAGAAGAAGAAAAAAGAAAAAAAAAAACCTTTAAACTGGCAATGTATTTGAATTGGTTTTCAGATTGTGGTGCCAGCCCTTGTGTTTCTCATGGAGGTAGCACCTTTTAATAAATACTGTTTCTTTGTGTAGGCAAAAGCACAAGTGTTTCAAATGTACATAGCAGGAAAAAGTAAAGCGTTTACAGAGCTAGCATTGCTGCACAGAAGAATTGCTACTGAATATTTCTTAGACCATTCGTGGAATTGAAAGATGAGGTTATATCTGTCAGGTTCATTCTGTTCAACACTGTTTCCCTATTGTTTGTGTATAGCAATCAGGTATTGTTGTTTTATCAGTTGTAAAATTGTAAAATAAATTAAATCTTGTTTTCTTTTTCAAACTTTTGTTTTGTCTCTTATATCCAAACCCTTGGTTCCACTTTATATGTTAATATTTAGTGATTTTTTTTAAAACAAATGTTTGTTAGTGCTTTTGTTCTCTCTTCCTCTAAGCTGTCCTGGTCAACTAGGCAGTTTATTTTTAAAAGTATTCATGAGAACATGAGCAATATCACAAGCCCGCTGAGTACCAAAAATTCCTAACAATTTCAGTTTCGTGGTTGCAGAGACCGATGACTTCTTAAATACTGCACGGTCTATGGCCGCCCTTTGACCCTGGTGTGACTTCAACTGCTATTTGACCCACTTGCTACTGTTCACAGTTTGCCTTCCAAAAGATGATTCAGGAACACTACATATGCTTCAATCTTCTCCCATGGCTTTCTATAACTTGCAAATCTATGTTTTTAGAATGGGCATTGTTTTCTGCAGAAACAGTTCACTATTCTGCAATTTTGAAGTATTTGCCGGATATCAAAAACAAACCAATAACCATAGTAAGGGAACATAGATGTTATGTATATTTACATAATTATTTTTACTGTCAAAGATCCATATATAATGGGTTGTTTGTATTACTCTTGGGATGTAATCAGATATCATCATGAAGAACTCTACTTTTGATGTCATGGAAGAGCTTTGAGGATTTGGGTATGAATTTTGGTGATTTTAAATCAAGTTATTAAATGGCAATGTTAAACAGTAATTTATTCTTGTCAAATATTTAAACATTAAATTTTTTTTTTTGGTAGAGGTTTTTGCCCTAGGATGTGTGTGCTTGCCAGGAAGACACACACAGAGAGAGAAAGACAAAGGCAGTAAAGAGAGAAAGTGAGAAATCACCTCCAGGAAGGAATGGCCTTGCAGTAATCCCTTCGCCTTTCTCCTCCTGGGATCTTGGGCAGATATGCACACATGCCTAGAATGGGTTTCTTCCCACCAAGTCCAGGACTCAAACTGCATGTTGACCTGTGAGAGTCCTGTGACATAACTGCTACACTATCTACTGGTTCCTACTATTTATTTATTGGAGAGATTTTTGCTATAGGGTGCATGCGCTTGCTGGAGAGACAGACAGAGGGCAAGAAATCGCCCCCTTGGGAAGGGTGGCCACACCACAATTGCTTCTCCTCCTGGGATCTTGGGT